TCCACCAGAGTAAGAAATAACGAGATCGTAAATAGCGCACATCGATAAATAAACGCGCGTATCAACGACGATTAATTAATGAATATAAATTCGTTCTGTTTCCGATTTGCAGTTTAAAAGCTGTCAGCACTTTTTTTTTTCTATAACACATACATTTGTTATTAATATAAAAATATTTATTATTCTTTTATGAAAATAATATAATTATTCAATAAAATCTATAACAGAATATTTGTTTACAAGCAGCGTTGGTAATGAAAAAGATTTAATATCGTCGAGTAAATTTTTGCCACAGATATAAAATAATAAATGAATATATAATAATAAATAAATATTTGCATTTATATGAAAAGATCGTGCTTGTATGCTTGTTGAAAATTAAAACTGCGAAACACTCATCATGTGCCAATAAATAAATCTCGGCATCTTTTACACACACACACACACACACACACACACACACATATATATATATGTATATGTGTGTGTGTGTGTGTGTGTGTGTGTGTGTGTGTGTGTGTATATCTCAAATAATTTAATGATGGCTATAAATAAACAGAATGGAACAAATTAAATATTAAAACTTTAATCGTATATAATATCGAATGTCTAACTCGAGAGTCTGTTTAATACAATGACTGTTCTCACAGAAATTTTCGTAAATTCCATACGTACAATCATATTTAAAAGACACAAATTGCTTACTATGGGTTCCTCTTTGTCCCACTTTGCTCCATTGAAGAGATGCGAGGTAAAAATATCCGAAAGAATAAATATTCTCGAGTGATAACGTTTAAAACTGATATCGCCGATAAAACGCCACGCTCTCCTATATTAATGCGTCGACAACAAAAACATTTTTTCGCCTATTAGCTCCGGTTTGGCGGCTCGCGGCGCTAAAATGATATTGAATGCGCAGGTATGAAATTAAAATGGCTCGCGTATACAATACACACGGCCGCCGGCGCGTCCCTGTTTTTGCCCGCGATTTCGAAAATGCGCATCCGGATTTTAATATATAGACGGAAATAATGGAAAAGAGCCGAGATATTAAATATCGTTGCGCGTGCCGTGATATTTACGTTTAGTCTCGCGCAAAATATTTGCGTCGTCGTTGCATCCACGCGCGGCTGTATTACACGTATCGTATGAACCTGAAAACGGCAACAACAACAATCTGCGATGTCGGGAGAAGGAGGCACGACCGGCAGTCTACATCGCCGTCAATGGTTCATCGAATGACTTTCCCTAGTGTCGGATGACAGAGCTTTTAGAATCCATCCATGAGTAAACCAAACCGATGACTGCAAACGTATTACTACTATATATCCGGGGTGTCATCCCCTTCTCGAATCACGTGAGGGGGTGTAATGGAAATCATTTTATCATAATATATATATAGATCGTGTATACATACGCTTCATTAAATCCACTATTACTTGACAATGTATTTGTGCAACTGGACATCACATGCATATTTTATATCACATCGTTGAAATGAATATTGTTTCAATTAAAAAACAAAAATTGCGATTATTTCTCTAATTTTTTATACATTTGTTAGCGTAAACATATATGTGATATATAAAATTTGCAAGCGTAAATAGGCGGAGCAAAAACCTGGAAGAGGACTCGAAAATATTTTTTTCAACTCTTTTTCACAAAAATAAACGCGATATGTCTCTTCGCAGAGATGAAGTCTGATCGCGCTTGATTGTATTCAGAGACAAATTAAACCGCTAATTGCGACTTCCCATGAGGATAATCTCACCTCATTAGATAATCCTGACATTGCTGCACATCGGTTCTAATCGCGCGAGGCTCAATAACGTCAAAGACCGTAATTACCCGATTCCGCAGCCGTTCGGAATGGAGCTCGCATCCATACAAGCTCGAAACGCGAGATATCGAAAGCGGTTAAGACATGGCCTTTCCCTCCGTAACTTTGTCCTAGATTTTCTATCATTTTATCGCTGCTCTTTCGAACTTCGTCTCAACTTATAAATTAATAAAAAAAACAATTCAAGTTAGATGCGTTTGAACGGTAGAAACTTGGTTAAAAATTATTCGCAGATACGTCTTATGTCGTCATATGGTGTTGCAATGATAATTAGAATCGTAGAGAAATTTGTTGGTCTCATCCGGGACACCGCATAGATCTCAACGAGGCACATCCTCTTTTGCAATACGGAAAACAACAAGTGATTAGTTACTTTCAGGATATAATTATATATCCGCGTATGTATGCGCAACGCCGTCTCCGTAATCTTTGCTATTTATAATCTCAATGGCATTCCCCGTTCTACCTCGCATATGGCAAATAATTTTTTGTCACTGGGTCTTCTTTTAAATGTCGTCGACGTAATTGTCGTCATTAAAGCTGCAGCTATTATATCTTTTCGTTTGCCACCCAGAAACGGTGAGTGATATTTTTAAAAACTGTTCGTTCGAACTAATAGCTTGCCTATCAAACGTAAAAATCCGCTCGCACATAGATAATTTAAGGCCGCATCACGCAGACTAACGCATAATCAACCACAGAATCAGAATCCTTCCTCTCCTCCAATTTCAGGAAAAACAAAACTTTTTGATTGGTTGATTTTATGTAAAAGTCTGTGCTGTGGTCATTATATTTGAATGTACATTGAGAACATTTTTGCTTAAAAATGGACGAAGCAGAAGATCCTGATAAAAAATATCAATCAGAATTCTAATTATTTCAAATTATAGGAATGAATCTCTGATTTTCAACTATAGAGTTCCAATCAGAATGTAACCAGACTCGTTTCCTAACGTATAAGGCAACGTTTTCTTGTTAACCCTTTGGTCGCATATAAAAATATGCATATGCGTTTATAGCCAAGGTGACATACTGTCGGCGATCAAGAAAGCTCTAAGAAACGATCAATCAAGATGTCGGTAATCTACATGGGAATAATAAACATGCACCGTAATCGCGGTGCACATGCTTGCCTTGCGCATTTTTAAAAGAGGCGCCAGCAGCAGCAGCTCAACAGTGTGCTTTGGCGAAAAGGTTAATTCCAGTTAAAGTTCAACCATGTTCCCGACGAGTGCGGTGGACTGACGATCAGGTATCGATGCTTCGCAACGTCGTCGTAACGACACGACACGTTCCTCGCTCGGCTACGCGCGATAATTAAGTGTCGCTCGACGACGCTCATCCCGCGCGCGCGCGCGCGGCCTCTAATATCGCGACCGTCCGATAATATCTGTAATCCGCGCAAAACGATTTCGACGCGCGTGGCAACGGCATGAGCGCGTAGTGCGCCTCATAATTAGTCGGCAGACAGAGGGACGCGCGGTGGAATAGAGAGAGGACGCGATCATAATTGCCGCTCGCGCGTCCGCGGCCGGGCACAATCAATTAAATGGTGCGCGCGTTCACCATCCGAGACGGAACAAGGCACCCTTCCTCCCCCTCTGTTATAAATCGACATTCCTTTTTTTTCCTCTTCGAATAATCCCTAATTGAGTGGTCTGCATGTATATCGAAAAGATAAATTTTGAAAAATCGACGTTGCGTCCGTGATAAATGCAAATTGCCCATCCGCAGGATTATCAGCGCAAACATTAATTTCCTAGAATTTATATGTTCTTGTTCGCTTTTTTAAAAAAAAATGTTCAAGTCCTCTAATAAAATAAACGACGCTATCGTGTAACCGTTAAATAAAATTGCGCGACGACGTGCGTTATCATTGCATCAGCATTGTATTTAAATTGTTAATGCGTCTCTTTATTACTTCGCCCGTGACGTAATCGAGATCGATACGTCGTACTGTTGAACGTAAATTAAATGATATTACTTTACACATCTTACTGTGCTTTCAACGGATTTTTTAACGTACGCAACAATAATTACTCTTCAATAACCGCCGCCGCCGCAACGTTTTTTAACTAACTTTGCACAACACTTTTCTCTCTCTCTCTCTCTCTCTCTCTCTCTCTCTCTCTCTCTCTCTCTCTCTTTAAATAAAATTAAAAACTGTATATAAAATAATTTTACGAATAAGCGCCATGTTACGTCACATGAACTAAAACTTATAAAACTTGTGGAGTCTTCATCCACTTGTCTTGTCTGTGTAATAACTTTAGGAAATACAGCAGCGGGATATTTGCGTGATAACCGCGTAAAGAAATTAATATAAAAAATAGAAAGTGTGACACGTATAATCCAAAATCGTGGCACGAGCGTGAACGTAAATTAAAGCGGAAGAGATTTACAATCCCTTTTTTGCTACCGACATAAATGAAAACATACACAAGAAACTATCTTGATAAAGGACAATCACATTACGGAAATTTTAATTAGAGAAAAACCGTTTCCGAGGCTCTTTCCCTTTTAAATGTGACAGGGAAGAGCTAACTAAAAGAACATTACAGCTAATTTGAAAATTAATTAAATTAAGTACCGCTTTCGTAATGGGTTTGTCAAATGTAATATTCGATATTTTCAATATCAAAGGAAAATTCGATAAAATGTTAAATTATGTTGGAAAAACGCTGACAAAAGGATATTGAAATAATACGTAATTAGCTCCTAGATTATTGATTGGTCGTTTTAATGAGAAGTTAAATTTACGAAATTATACGTACACATGCTTAAGATTGATTAAATAACTGCACGGGGAAATTACAGTAATCCCATTATCACTTTCCACATCGATTTTAACTATGCTGCTGCTGCACAATGCATACGTCCGACGGACATCGTTAAATCTTAAAAGATAGCTTATCATTAACTAGACAATCGAATAGTATTACCTGTTGCTGCGGAGCGGCGTACTGGTGATCCGAAATAACCGCGTCTGAAAAGCAAAAACATTTTACAATAAGTACAAAGCGTGAAGAAATATAATAGTAAAGTTAATGTATTTTTACAATTTTTATTCTTATTCAATCGATATAATTTTATATGTCACACAAACATTTATTATCTATAGAAAGATATATCTTACGAAAGTGCTCGTTTTTGTTTTCAGGTATCCGTCACCGGTACAGAATGGAGGACCAAATGGCACGACGACAATGAGTTGCGCGAGTTCTCAAGGTAAGAATAAAAAAATAGCCAGCTCGAGCTGAATATCGTGGTGACATTGGCGCGCGAATCTCGCTCTCTCCGCAAAAGATTCGAAAACAATTCCGCTAATTCAATATGCCGTGCAACATTCGCGCGTTCGTTGCATTTAATTACTACCGACCGCGTACAGGCGGAATAAAGCCGCCGCCGCGACTCGCAATAAAAGTGGAAAAAGAGAAAGAGAGAGAGAGAGAGAGAGAGAGAGCGCGCGCGCCACATGCCGGTGCTCATTAATTAGCGGGTCCCGAAAAAAATTGCCCGGCAAAATTTTCTTCCGATTAAATTAGCGTTGCATTAAATTTATTGGCTGAATTCTCTTTCATAAACTGGCGGGCGAGCCGATCGCGTGCGCGCGGTTCGCAACTTTCTCGCTCCCTCGCTCGCACGCACAGTCCTCATACGTGTATAATTTGCAAATATCAAACGTCGGGCGAATATTTGAAAATATTGACTCTGGTATTTTAGCCGGGCTGCGGCTCGGCTGGGCAGTCTCTCGGCGCGCAGAAGGGGGCAAAAAATTATCCGCCTCATGACGATTCAATATCGCGCGATTATCGCGGCAAAAGGATACTCAGAGAGAGGAAGGGAGAGGAAGGTATCGCGCGCGGGGATCGGATATAATATTAATTTTATATTTTTCGCTACTGTGTGACACAAGCCCGCGTGGAGAGAGAGAACGCGCGCGAACATGCGGTCGCGGCGACTCATACATGTACGCACGTGCGTGAGAGCCTGCAAAAAGCTCGTCCCCGCGTTTATTCGCGATTGCGAGCGAGCCATTAAACAGATTCGCATGGAATTTCATGACGAAAAAGGGTCGACGGGCGCTCGGAAATTGCGCGGAACGCGCAATCAATGAAAAAGCTTCATTTCAACGCGAGCTTATTACGAAATTAATTTTCATTATAATGGGATTCTCTTAAGTATCGCACGCCTTTCTATTTGCGATACTTTCGCCACGTAGGTACGGAAAACATCCGGATCTCGAGCTTTTTCAGGCAAATGGCAATTTCAATTTTTCCCATAATTTTGTTTTTTTACAACGATAAGAATCCTCGCGATTATTCGATTTGCAAGGAAAAGTCGTATATCTACTAGCGACGATAAAGCAAGCGAGTTTGAATGCCGTGTGTTGATATCACCGACGACAATTGGCGCGAAATTGTAAAAAAAATATTTCCCGAGAGCGATCTGGACAGGTTGGCGCACGTTATCGCCGATGCGTGTGGCGGGCGCACGACAATCGTGCCGAAATATACGCGCGGGGCAAAATCCGAGGCCAATTACAAACACGCCGTCTCACCGGGCTGTCAGTCATCAATCCGTGGAATATTTTTCTCTGGGTCAATTGAACAATTCTACGCGTCGTCGGACAGCGAGCGGATGGGCGCGAGTGGGCTGGGTTTTAATGTATTTGCCGTTACCGGGGGCTTTCAACGGCTAACCGGTAAATCTTCTGACGAGCGATTAACTCGTTTCTCTCGGTACTCCTCAGCTATTAAATTACCATCGACGATACCGCCGGCAATAAAACTTGTTCGGGGTGATACTAAACCGAGCGAAAGGTTGCGGTTCGGCCCAAGGATTATACAATAATCTTTTAAATCACTTAAAATGCCTCGTTTATTTATTCCCCATCAAATTATCGGCATTACTTTGAGAGCTTTATTAACGCGGCGACGCGACGTATTATAGAATTGATGGACAATGTCTTTAATGACGTTTCATTCTTTCATGCCAGCCAGCTGCTAGCATATATTCATTTTTATATCGGATAACTGTCTTCACACAGTTGCAGATGCAAAAAGTAGACAAGACCTCTCGTTAACGAGCAATTAAATCAAACGAAACACTAGATACGAAACTTTCGTCTCAGCCAATAAAAATTATTTCGAACTCGCGCTTAGCACTTTATTCGAGAAAGATTACTTTGCACAATCTTGTCAAGAATTATTTTTCATCGGCGATATATAGCGGTAAATTTTGTCTCGACGGGAAGCCGACGTGGGAGAAAGTTACAACTTGCCAGGCATTTTCCCTCGATTTTAAAGCCGTAGAAAAGATAAATTCGATCGTTTGAAAAAGTTTGCGAACAAATATCGAAAGTTCGAAGCGCACTTTGATTCAGAGCGGGCAAACCGCTTGGTATAGCTGTATCTAGCTCGAGCAGAAAATTCAACTGGTGCCTGTTTACCTGTAGCTGCCGCCGAGATTAGAGTTAGACTCTCGATGAGTCACTCATTTGCTCTCTCAGTTACGCGGAGCAAGTATACGACGAGATGAGTGACAGGAGTTCCTGCGCGAATTAATAGCGCGATAATTCGAGCTAGTTAACGTGTGTACGCGGGAGGAAAATAGAAGAAACACTTGGAAAATGATTAACGAGCCGTCACGGGAGTCTGATGTCTACGTTTGCGCCGAGGAACTAAAATTAGGCGAAAGAAGTCTCGCTCCTGCACCATTTATCACGACATGTTAATGTAACGTTAATACAAATATAGTGATTTAATTAGTATTCCTTTCGAGAGCATTAGTAAATTATTATATATAGGTAATTCACTCTTAAAGTTCGCTCCAACTTCTCAGTTCATTCTACAATCTTTTTTTCCATAACCCTTTACAGAGCGAACTCGGGGGGATGGGGAGTTATTATCGCGCGCGCGCGCGGCTATAAAGTGTTAATCACCGCAATAACGTGGCGGCGGCGGCACGTTGTCGCGTGAGAACATTTTTCGCTCCACGACGCTCGGGAGGCTCGAGAAGGCCTCCCGGGGCTGTCGGGACGATGAGAACACGAGCTCCGAAAATCTAAAGGGCGTCGCCCTGTCCTTGTCTCTGTGTGCAGGGGTGATGGTGAAGCAGGAGGCGAGGGACGACGGTTACGAGACGAGTCCGGACCTCGAGATGAGGAGCACCGGCGGTGACAGCAGTCAGCAGTATCACACGCCACTGACACCACACACGCCGCACACACCGCACACGCCGCACACGCCCCTCACGCCGATATCGGCGACAGCGCATCAACCCCAGCAGCCGGGCTCGACCGCCTCCGCCCTCGGACAGGTGAGTTTTTCATATTCGCCTACTACTACTCTGCTGCTGCTGGCCAAGCTACTCGTAATTTTATTACCGCGATGTCTCGAAAATAATCATATCGGAATAAGTGTCTTGAAAAAAAGATGTACCTTTCATATCGCAAAATCGTCACGTTTGAGGAACTATAATTCAGACGTTTTGCGGCTAAATTACAACGTTGAAATGTCGGGAATAATGCATATGCTTGCAGAATATGTATACATTCAAGTGATTGGTTGTAATTATGCCGAGGTTGCGTGTGATGTTCATACGGCATATTCTCAATCGATCTTATGTCAGAGTTTTGGATTATATGTAATATTTCATCTAATTTACACTAATGTAACAATCTAAAATTAATGCTCATATATATTCGATTATCTATACGTAATGAATATATAAAAATTAAAATCCTTGATATGTGTGTGTATATATATATATATATATACCATATATGATATATAATTCGAAACGATTAAATACTCTCTTTCGTAATAAAATAATGCTCGTGTAACGCATTGATAATAATATAAAATTTACTGTGCACGATACGATTATCTCGAAATTCTATAATGCGATAAAGTGCGCGATTTAAAATGTGTTGATCAGAGACGATCATATTTATAAACAAGAATAATAATTAAATTAGAAATAACGCATTCGAGATCGATAAGAGTCTTCGCGATCTTCAGAGCGATACTCGATAATCGATGAAGGAAAAAATATGTTATTACGTATAAAGGAAAAAAAAACGCACGTAAAACATCAAACTTATTAGCCAATAAAAAGCACAGACGATTCTCATTAGGAACCGTATTGGCGTATCTAGCACCTTGCAATCAAAATTACGAGCAATAAATTGCAATAAAGACGCACGCAATCGCCACTCCGGGATTTTCGCAATGCCGCGCGCGGCGATTTGCATTTTCATGTTAGTTTTACGATCTACTTACGCAACATTACCTCTGTTGCGGTACAATGAAAGCCGTGGATGGGCCGCGGTATTACTTATTTTCCACTTAATACGCGGGCGAAAGATCTCTAAACGAGTAGTTTCCGCGAATTTAGTTTATATCTGCATAATTTCTTTGATTGTTACACGATTATAAAATTTCGTGCAGAAATGTGCGATGAAAAAATTTCTGTTAATAAATATCATGGAAATATAATTTCAGGATGGTATTTCAGCAACAACGTTTCACGTTTTGTTCGATGAAAAATCCTTTTATATTTTTATATTGAAAACCGGATTCATTAATGAGAAAGTAATAAATATAAATAACCTTGTGATATATCTTGTATATGTATCTGCATCAAGAGGTACAAGATATAATTCACATATTACGCGCGAAAGAAATACAGAAAGGGGCGAGTTATATTGCATCCTTCCAGCGGCTTTTGGCTTTTTCACATTACAAACCGGCAAAATAAAAGCTTTGTGATTCGGTTGAATATTTTGACGGTGGTAATTTTCAGGGATTTCAATCAGAACGCACATTTTCCGCTCATGAATTAATTGCAGGTTGCCCAGCTCCCCCAATTTGGCTATCGGCGCTATCGCGCGCGAATTACAGAAATTTCATCCGATATTAAATTGCCATTATATCCGCAAAGTTGTTATCCGCTGTCGGGATCGATAGTCTTTTTCTCGAAAATTATCTCGTGACGTGACGACCGATCGATCTCGGTTTTACCGGCTCCTCATTTTAACGAATGAACGGCCGACGAGCGAAGCGAATTTCCGTTGATCGAATTGTTAACCGTGAACACGTCCCGGATTTATCGAGTTCGCATTATCACGCTCCTCTTTTCTTCATCCTATTTCACATTGTTTTACTTAACCCTTCCCTAAATTCTCTGACGTCCAATTGTTTCTACGTAAACGAGCCAGATACTCCAAGTATAGACTCCTTTTCCCGAGACAATCGAAGAAACGAATAGCCGTCTATAGAGGGGACTATAGAGCGAAATATATACCTTTTTCAATTTCTCTACATATTAATTTTTGTATATATGTATAATTGTTGTTCTCTTTTGAATGCGACTCAATTATTACTTGAGGAAAGACAGACGAAAAGTGGAGATAGATAAGCGGAGGTGTAGTGTACGTTTGCCTTTATTTATTATCACAACGGCGCGACGGATATTTTTCCCGAAACGTATAGATTAATGGCTCTTCAAATCGATAAACAAACATCCTTTGCGCAATGTCTCGCAATAAAAATCTTCTATATTTACCTATTTTTTAACGCAAATATTGTGCTTTAACATCGTCGGATAAAACAAATCTGTGCGTTACATTCGCGACACTCGCCACGGTCCTTTTGTTCGCAAATAATAACAATGGAGCATGCGCGCACGTATGTTCTTATCGTGTGTGGAATATTGTCGGTGACTTTCGAGCGAAGCCAGAGCCCTGTGTGAAAAAGGGTAGGGTAGGGATAACGCGTTATCGGTAACTACCAGTCAGTGCAGCTCTTATCTTCGCGGGATTTCGACCTCGATTACGCAGGGTTATCAGCGGGTCAAGAGCGCGGCTACACCGACTGGAAAGACCATACAGTCAGGTCGAAAAACGAGGGTTATGTGTGTTGCGATAAAAAAAAAAAAACTCTCTCCATCGGATTCTCTTATGCTTTTATTTCCGTGGGAGTCGAAAAAGCAACGAGATCTTTTCCCCGAGTGAACATTAAATACGGCACTGTTTTTCTTACATATTTCTGAATGAAATTAAACCCGGGATGGATGTATAGACGTTGCATTTCCGCAAACTGCACGAAATATTCTGCATCCGCATTCGTTAAAATGAACAAATGATGGTGAAATCATTTAAAATTAAGAGTGGTGAATATATACGAATATTGATACGCTAAATTATCGCATTATTGACAGCCTTCAGAATACAATAACGGCTTGTTGAATAATTTCTGATTTCATCGGACGGGATAGCGCTTGAAGCATTTATTTTAGTCCACGAGATATCGGATTTTTGCGCGAACGTCGAAAAGAGTCAGGGAACAAAACGTCGCATGGATACCTGTCGCGTTAATCATCTAATACCAACCTCGTTAATATCGCCATGACAAAACTCTATCGACGTAAGGAACTTTCCAGATAATTTGACCTCCTTTATATTACCGACTCACATCTTGTCAGATATTCAATTCTTACAGAGCTTGTCACTCATCCAAAGCAATTAGCTTATGTATAGCCAACCTGTAACGAACCTTCCTCTATTTTTTTTTTCTAATTTCATATTCAAAAAGAGGCAGAAAATCACTGAAACCTCAGTTGATTTTAGCTAATGCAAAAAGCAGACGGTACAAAAAGTGCAACGGGAGAAGAACGGTGATCGCGTCAGTCCGTAACACGCGCAATTTGCAAAAAAAAGAGACACAGCTGCACATTTTACAACCGCGAATGGCTGATACGTTGTACGTGGCCGCGTATTTTCGGTCCATGTGGCAATTGCGCTATTACTATTTCCCCAAGGGCATCACGAGAGACAGAAAGAGAGAGAGAGAGAGAGAGAGAGAGAGAGAGAGAGAGAGAGAGAGAGAAATATACATACATATAACGCCGGCTGGGGTACGTACGTTTTATGATCGCCACTGTACGTGTCCGTGATCGTCGGTACATGTTTTACGTCGGGATTGTACGTGCTCAGGAGAAATTTCATTTTTCCGCAGCCGACCACCTGCGAAACTTGCGAACGCGACGAAAAATTTCGCGGCGTAATTTCGAGGTAGAATTAAATTAGGCTGGAACATCAGCCGTCATCGCGATTCGAGATATCACAAGGATAATTCGCGGCGACTGGTGCGCCAGCATTTTTCTTTCTTTCGCCCGCATGTATTACTCGCAGAAAAACGCGAGAAATTCGGTCAGTAAATACGGTAATATGGTCTACCTTTAATACCGCAATGAAGAAATATCCGCATCGGAATTTATCGTCAAATATTTCAATTTTTTTATAGATTATAAAAATGCAAGTCTATCCTACGAATTCTTAATTTCGAATCAAGCTGCCCCCGCGAAATGGAATTATTCAACGAAGAAAGCATGAGGAAACAGAACACTTTCTCTAGTCTTCCTATCTCCCGTCCTTGATCTCTAGCACTTCCATTTGGATACGGAAGTCCCAAAATCCCTGCATTATCCCGGCGGACACGACGGCGCCGAATATGATAAGCTCGTATCTACCGACGTCTGCTGACATTCTCTTTTTCAGGTCGCGATAAAATGCGAGACGCCAGTGGACCCATATTCGTTTGTCGACGAAGAGATGTCGATGAGTGGTATGAGGACGGCGAGCAGTCCAGGCGGCGGCGGCGGCGGCGGCAATCCTGAGAACATGACGTGTCCGGGCGGCGCCCAACCTGGGCTAGGTACACCCACGTCGACGCCGCCCGGGGCGCTGCCCGGGCCACAACATCATCAGATGAATCTTGTGATGAACGGCGCCGCCGGCGTCAATCCGCAGCTGGCGCATCAACCGAAGAAGCGAGGCCGCAAAAAAAAGTCGGAGATGATACTCACCCCCGAGGAGTAAGAGTCTACCATATATAATCAATTGCAATTGTCAACGACTGCGATTATACTGACTTTGTGATTCTAAATGCAGTCGTGCGCATCTTCTTGCTTTTACGTCAAGATTATATACCCCCTTTGTTATAATTCAATTACATGCTTGCGTAATTGTAACGTAATTATATGTATACACGTATTTTATACACGAGACGAGGCTTGTCTGGTAAGACTCGCTATTTAAGAACCATTTTAATTCAACATTGTAAAAGCCCAAATATCGTTCACGAGAGTGAATACAGTTTAAAAAGGCGCGACGTCAAAATTTATTTACGGTTTCAAGGATGAGCATCATGCTTTCTTCACGCATGGTTTATGTATCAACAGAAGGAATTATTATAAATAACACTATACGCAATCATTCAATTTTCGTCAAATTAAGTTCAGAATTTACAATCTATAGTGGAAGAAGTAACAATAATATTATAATTATTATAACAAGAGGGTGTTAATGAGTAGAAAGAAAAGCGGAGCTGAACGCGCGGACTGGTCACGAAGCCGCGACTCGATATAACTAGAGTTAGTTATATATTTGCATGCAGCCACGCGGTTAAAAATATCCGCTCTGCTAACAATGTCCGTCTGACCGGGCACCATGTTGCTGATCCGATAGGATCTTCAGTTGCGCTTATTTTTGTGAAGCCGGCCGAAAACTTAAAAATAGTTCCGCATATTAGGAACGTAACACGATCAGATGCGTGCCGCTATTACGGAGATACGTCAGGAGATAACGCGCTCATTAAGACGTTATAATTGAGGATCTTAAGAGAGAATTATTCGTACCCTCTTGACACCGGTATGTCTATTTAATTGAATACCCTCCCTAGCTAAACACAAAGGCCCATTATGCTAACGTATAAATATTCTGCTCCGTCCCCTATCATTTTTTACGAAATCGCGCACTACTACTGTTGCATAAAACTTGAAAGGAAGAACGCGTAAATACATTAATTAGCGTGTTCGGTCATCTATTGTACATTTCATTGCAGAACTACGCTAATTAACATTTTCTTTTTTCACACAATGCTTGAACTCACGTTAAAATTGATTCGCGTTCATTAATACTTATATCCAAAAATTATTTTCATGTTTTATTACCTGAGTATGTCTCGTTTAAAAATAAAGAAAATATAGAGCCCGTAAATTGCGTTTTGCCATCGTCATTTTATCTCGCGAGATCCGAGCTTATTCATCCGTGTATTCTTCCCGACGACGTATTCACGACGGCTTACAAGTCCCCGGTCGATAAAACGTTACATTGTGTTACAGTGTTACAAATCGAAACGCGGAGTGTCCAAGACGAGTTCGTCGGCGCGCTTGACAAAAAACAAACGCGGAAAGCCCTGCCGATCGAGAGAAATAGTTGCGCGCCTTTCGCTGAATCGTATGACACAGCATAAAGGAATCCAGCGTATTATTAAAGCCCTCTGTATCTACTTTTTTCTCTTTCAGAGCGGAACTCGCAGAGGCCAAGAAACGTGCAAAGACGTACAAAGAGAGGAAGAAGCACGACAGGTTCGACGGCATGCCGGAAGAGGAAGTGAGCAAACGCGTTCTACCGGACCACCTTACAAACAACCTTGACATTATTATAGTAAGTCCACGTATAATTATTTCTAGAGACCCCTCTCAATAAGAGTTTGGACACGAGCCGAACTTTTGTGTGCAGAGTAGTAGTTTAATGACAAAAATTTGCGAGAAAGAACATACATTGACTGTTTCTATCTCTGTTCTGTTATATTTTTTCTCGTCTATCTCTCACAGAAATTAAAACACGACTAATCAAAAGTGGCTTCCCTGTTGCGTTCATTAGAGGATCTCTATAATTATATTTCATGTTCATATCGAGTGAATATGACCTAAACTGATCCATGACTTATATGTTACCACTGTTCTTTATCATATATCAATATTGCGTCATCTTGTCAAGTCGTGTAAATTTCCGGAGAACATTCTATATACCACGTATAAGCGCAGCTATAACTTTACATTAAAGGTGCTTTAGACAGCTAACAATAGTTATACATGCAGAATACCAGATAGAGCACGCGCGCGTTTCAAACGGATCATCCGCAGTATCGATAAATTGAATTATTCGCGAGGTTGTCGCGGAACATCTCACGCTAAGTAAGCGATGTTCCACTGCCGAACGGCAATAATAATTCATTAAATCGCGTTGTAACACTAACAACAATAAAAACGTCAATTTCACCGGCTCACGCATTTCTACCCCGCGTATACGCGCCGCGCGGCACGTAATTTATAGCCCGGCATATATATCGCGGCCGTGCGTGTCATTTGTAATGCCGCATTACCAATGCGCCGCGATGTCGTTCTTGATCGAATGACGGTAATTAATCCGAAACGCGCGTGGCACGACTCGGCTCGGCTTTAACCAGCGCGAGAATCCATCTTGGAGTCACCGCCGCGCGAAAACGCGAGGATTCTCTGCACGCGGCAACGACAAATGGCAATCGCCGCCTCCACAACAGCCGGCCTAATCGCTTTAATGATCCGTGTGCGATTCGGTTATCACGCCGGTCATTGCGTTTCGTGAAAGAGAAGCGGAGAAAACAAGAGAGAGAGAGAGACTCGCGAATATCATAAATTCCTCAACCTAAAATTCCATCACTTTTCCCTGATTTCTAGGTAAAATTTCGAGCGTGTGTATTTTGGTTCCCACCCGATGATTTAGAATATTTTGTTGAGAAATCAATTTAACAATGTAAATTATTATTGAGTGCTTGCATTTTTAATTATTAAGTTGGTAGTATTTCAAAATTGCGCAAGTGTGATGAACGTATTAAGTTTTTTTAAGATGAAAATGTTTTATTTTGCACAAATCTGATTTTGCCTCATTTCCCTGACAATTTCCTGATTTCCAGTTTTGCGGCAACCCTGAAATTGCTTAACCACTGCAACCAGCTTCGCCGATGTTAGGAAACTTAAATCTCGATTGACTAGCCGTCTTTTTGCGAAACTAGAGAGACTTAACGGAAAGAACTAAATGTAATTAGAGGTTAAACTTAATTGACACGATGAAACCAACAACAAGTAAGTTATTGATTGTTCAACAGCACGAGAAATAGTATAATATTTTCAGAAATGAATCAAAGTTATTCTGGTAAAATGGAAGAGTATCGTCAGAATTGATAAGTCAAGTTGTCCGTCAGTCATTCTGAATTCGTCGGCGGCGGATAAAGAATCGACATTGCGATCGATGGAAAACAATTTCGGACGATTCTACGTACGTGTCATTTTCGTCACCGCGCGTTAGCGTGATCTTTATTGAATGCAAGCGAGAGAATGGGAATTACGTTCTCGTTACAAACGCGACAACCCGCCGCGCGCGCGTTGATCGATCACCCGATACCGGTGTAAACGGGTATAAACAGTTTAACGGGTGAGCATCATGGTCATTACGAGTGATTGTTATAATCCGATATGCGGCCGTCGTTATCAAAATTGGGGTGACTTAAATGACGGAACCGAGAGGCTCGTAACGATTTCAGTATTTTAATCGTATCACAACATCCCCGCAACGTAGCTTGATTTATATTCAACCCCCGATTCTCTTTAGAATAATGAAATTGTCATATTTTTGACAGCGTGCGCGCAATTATGTAGTATTACGATGAGTGAGAGCGTATTATTGAAGCAATTTGTCGATTAATTTAGTGTACAAGTATTAAAAATTTAATTAGTACGTTCTCTCGCTGTCTGTATACATCTCTCATGGTACAGAATAATTCCAATAAGCTGAATAGATTCTAAAACTTGTTGAACCCGCGATCACGAGTCGTTTCAATTTTGCAATACGCGTAATTGATGTCTTTTCGTAATTGAAGTTTTTTCAAGCATTCGAAATGTCGTGAAAGAAAACTCGAGATCATCGTTGTAAGAAAAGAGCACGTGTTTATCGCAAAATAAGGCACGAACGCTGTCGGCCATTTTCATTCGGGGAGTCTGTTAACGCGCGCTCCACGGTCCATATTCATATATTACCCGAAACGAGTTGTCACCGTGGTCGATCATCCGTCAAGCGGTGTAAACGCTTTAACGGGCCGTGGGCAATTCGGTTATTACGCCCGACGTTGTAATCGAACGCAGCGGGACACTGTTCGCTGCTCCCCATAGAATGCACCCCCTGGTGCACCCCCAGCGCGACCACCTCTCACCCCCCCCCCCCCCCCC